CACCACGCGATAGCGACCGAGGAGCCCGCGAAGAACGCTGCGGCTTCCTGGCGGTGGCGGCATGGGTACAGATGGGACCGCCAAAGCCCCAATGCGCCCGCCGCCGCCAACCCTCATGCTTACGCCAAGAGCTACAAGGGCAAAGGCCCTGCGGGGCTTAGGCTTAGCAGCTGCTCGCCCACTGGCAGAACGCCGAGACTACCCGCGCATCGCGGAGACCACCGCTGGCCGCCGCACGCTGGTTGGCGTTCGCTGCTCCGAAATATACCCTCCAGAAGCTCAGGACGTCGCCGTCGACATGGACGCCGTCCCGGACCCGTACAGCACCTACGAGTACTGCTACATCCAGGGGAGCCACGGCTGCTACAACCGCGGCTACCGCGGCTTACACAACCACGGGAGCTACAACCAGGGGAGCCACCACCAGCGCGGCTACGAGCACCAGGGAAATTCTACGGCGGCCCGAAGCGCAACGGGCGCCAAGGGAACTTCTGCGACCACCAGCGCAGCTCCGGGGACGCGCAGACCTCCGACTGGAACCGGCTGGACGCGGATCGGGGAAAGCCCAACCTTACGCAAGGATGTGCTGGCCTTGATCATGGCCATGACGCGGCCCACTGACAAAATCGTGGATATTCTACCACCCGCCTTGCACCTCGACCCTGGCGGCAACGCGGAACGCGGCACGAAGAATGCCGGCGAACAGAGGAAGGGCCAACCCTCACGGAATGCTGCAGATTCGTCCTGGGGGTCCTCAATCTTAACATTCTCCCCGTCTTCCTACCTGCTAGAGACGACGCCGACGAGCCCACTTTCGTGACCGAGGGCGGCGCCAACCTGGACAACAAGCAGGAGGACTTGAGCGGCTAGAAGAACCACAAGGCTCCACGTGAGGAGGAGGAGGAGGAGGAGGAGGAGGAGGAGGTGGGGAAGAAGGAGGAGCAGGCGGAGGAGGAAGAGGGTGAAAAGGACGAGGACTGAACGTCCTCTGAGGAGTCCTGGTCACCTATGCCTTACGCATTCGATGGATGGCGAGAACACGGAATCCAGAGGCGGCAGAAGCAGTAACGTCAACTGGGGGGAGCGGCAATTACCCCCTTCATGGCATGATTCATGTACAAGGGACTGGACAGAGAACGAAGAAGCCAGCCCAGCGAGTGCTGACCCACAGGCCCCGCTTCCCAACCCAAGCCCAAGCGAACTAAAACATCACCGCTTCAGGGCCGCTGAGGGTCAGCGACAAGCTCCAGTCCAGGAATCTGTCGCAAATTGAATATAGAATGCTTAATGTAAGATGCACAGTGAGGACGACCCATGAGGTACACGATTGCTGGTGGTCCATGCGCGACACAACGTTTTGATGGTGCACCATCTGATCCCCGGCTCGCAATTTGCAAAAAAACTGCGAGCATCGAGGTCGGGAGGAAAAAAGGGAAGGGAGGGGAAGTGACAAGGGGCGGGACTGCTCGGACGGCTCGGAAGCCCCCCGGCCTCCCGAGAAGCTTCCCAGACCTCCCCCGAAGGCACAGAGAGAGATCTTCTCCGAAGGCGCGAGCCGCCTCCTGAGAAGCCCTGCTCTGTCCCACCGCCGCCGAGGAGGAGGGGGGAGGAGGAGGAAGAGGAGGCAGAGCAGGAGGAGGAGGGGGAGCAGGAGGAGGAGGAGCAGGAGGAGGAGGAGGAGGAGAAGGAGGAGGAGGAGGAGAGGAGGAGGAGGAGGAGAAGTCCCCCATCCGCTCGCCGCCGCACGCCCTGCCCGTGGAAAAACGAGCACCCGGGGGGACCGCACGAGCGGGAAAGCGCCGCGTGCCGCGTGCCGACACGCGGTGGCCCCGGCGACGCGCCGTGGCTCTTTTCGAGCGGCTCGCGCGCCGCTCCGCTCCCCGGGCAGGGTTGACGCTCGGGGGCTCCTCTCCTCCTCCTCCTCCTCCTCCTCCTCCTCCTCCTCCTCCTCCTCCTCCTCCTCCTGGTGTGGCTGCCCATGAGCCCTCATTGTCCAGAATGTCCAGAATGTCCTCCTCCTGGGACGTGGACAGCTTCTAGGGCTCCCCACTTCGCGCTCTCGCGCTCCGCGAAGCGCGAATAGCTTCGCGCTCTCGCGCCGCCCCCCCCCCCGAAGGGAGGAAGGGAGGGGGAGGAGGAGGAGGAGGAGGAGGAGGAGGAGGAGGAGGAGGAGGAGGAGAATGTGGAGAAGGAACGAGGACCGCGGAGAGCGAAGCGCGAACAACGTCGCGCCCTCGTGGGAGCCCTTGAAGCTTGTCGCGCCGAAGCGCGGTGGGCCAGAACGAGCAGAGCGGCACGCTATCCAAAACTTCCCGACCGGGAACGCGGGGCGCTCTCTTCAAAACGAAGACCCAGCACCACAAGATGGTTGGGAAGCAAATCTATCCGAGATGGCATAGCGATCTTAAGCGGCGGCTTACGCGGGCCGCCAGCGCGGCACGCTACGTTGGAAACGAGGGCGCTTACGCGCGACCTTACGCGGGCAACTGATGCGAGAATGTCCGCGCAGTGGAACCCGTGTGCTTGCGTCGCTCACCTGGCCCAAACAGGGCGCGAGTACTCATCTGAGAGCTTCAACGACGCCCTCCACATACGCCGCGCAACTACCCCGCGGCAGCCCCAGGCCCCAGAGCCCGCACACTTCGGAATGTCAACACAGAGATTGTCGGACTGAGAGCTTTCCGGCCGATAGAGACAGGTGAGCAATATAGTTTCGCCACCAACAACAGCGCAGCTCAATCAAGCAAGCGTGAGGCCCCCGAGCATGCTCCGCGAAGCGCGCGGCCGATGACGTGTGAAACCAGAGGTGCGAAGACGCGGGCAGACACAGGAGAATCGGCGCAGAGTTAAGTCGGGCCTGTCCCTCTACAGGAGGAATATGCAAAAATCGTGAAAAAAAAACCTGGAGGCGATTTCTTCACCATGTTTGAATATGTTTTGATTGTTTCGTTGGTTATTTTTCTATTTTTCATCCAAAATTCCCCTGTAGGGGGACAGGCGCAGCGGAGAACGGAAGCAGGGGCGGAGAAGAGCGGGGGGCGTGAGGCCTCACGCGGCAGGGAGCGCCCCACACTCCGCCCTGCCTGTGGATGAAAAAAGAAGAAGCGGCATCAAATAATGAAAGGGCTCTGGGACACACAAATATATACACACAAGTAAAAATACTCCCCATATTCTAATATATTTTGGGGGTTTTCGCCCTCCCCCCCACTTCCCATATTTTCAAGGGAATCGACGATTAACTGTGTCTGTGTGTCTTCTTTCCCTCCTGAAATCAACGTTTGGCGCTCCGCGCGGATTTCTGGGATCCGCGCCGGACCCCCCTCCCCGTCGCGCGGAGGCGCCGCCGGGGAGGGCGCCGCAGGCGCTGCCGGTTGGTCCCAGCGTGGATCCAAGAGATCCGCGCGGAGTGCTAATTTGTTCCCTACCTAGGCTCTGCCTAGAAGGGTTCTTACTCGGAGGCTTAAAGGGCCGGGCAGTGGGGCCCGCCCCGGGCGGTTCCCCCAGTATCCGCCCCGCGGTTCCCCCAATGACGTTCCCTTAGCTTCGCGTTGCTTATCTCATCTTAGCTTAGCTTATTTCATCTTAGCTTAGCTTAATCTTAGTTTGACTTAGCTTCATATAGATGTTGCTTTCCTAGATCCTCCAACTCCTAGGTAGGGTCGCACTGGGATAATTTTATGTTTGTGGCGTTTTTTCTTCTAGCAGTGAGCGCCCAGTGCGCGCCCTGCCTGCACAGTCGGGGCTGATTGGAGAGGGCACGCGAGAGGGCACGAGATGCTTTCGAGGGCCGCGTTGCCATACAGTCGGGGCCTTGACCTAAGGAACCCTAAATAAGGAACGAGGCCCCTTTTTTCCACAAGTTAACCTTCGATTTCCTGTCGAAAACATAAGGAAAGCCTGAGGCAAGCTGTGAAACACTTAAGGAACGCGGAGCCCCTCCCCAACGGAAAGGGTTCCTTCTTCAGGGCCCCGACTGTAGGAATGTCAGAAGGCATGGGCCGCGAAGCTCAGGACACAAGGGCACCCTGGATTCAAGTCGGCGGGATCGACCTGCGAATCAGTCTCGCCTGCATTGGGCGGGAACCGACCGTCCCGGCATTTCTATAGGCCTACCACAGCATGCTCTTCGAGCCCGCAAATGTTCTAAGAACACAAAACCATGTTCTCAGAACATACACCCGATGTGTCACAGCAAGGCAATCTCGGCCAGACATGTTCTAAGAACATTCCGTGGAAGCCACAGAAGGTTCTTAGAACATTGTCTGGTAGGCCTATACTGGCCATCGCTCGGACGTCCATTCCCAGTGTTTGTTTCGGTTTCGTGCGTGGTTTGTTCGCAGGATGGTCCAGGGTGCTCCCGAAGAATCCCCGCCGAGAAAAAGTGCACACGTCCGAGCGATGCCAAGTACAGGGCAGTTTTTAATACATGGGATTTTGAAAAAAACATAGGGTTTTAAATACATGCTTAATTTACAAACGAATTTACGCATGAACTCATCTTTGTTTGCAATGCCAAATCCCTGAATTTTTAATACATGATCCGAACGCGGAGCATGTATTAAAAACGGCACTGTATAGGCGCGCCAGGACGCCTCGTCACTGCTCGACTGCACGCTGCAGTCGCCCCGCCTGCGGCGCCCCGGAACTGCCACGCCCAGGGGCCCGGGCGCGCGGAGGCCGACCGCCCACGGCGCCGCCCCCGCCGCGGGGGCCTCGGGCGGCGTCCCTCTACAGGCGGCATACTCAAAAAGAGTAAACTCTTGTTCGGCTACTTTTGAAGATGCCTGGTGTCTGTGTTACTTCTCGCCCCACGCCCGCCTGTAGGGGGGCGTGCCCGACCTAACCCTGAGTTATGTTGTTCCCATCCTACTCAAGGACCACATCCCAGAAATAATTTCGAGCATCCCGAAAAGTGCCAAAAGAGTGTCGACACAGTGCCGGACGAGCGTCTCCCACGGCCCGACACGTGACAACCCTTGGGTTTCGGTACTCTCTTGGGCGCTCGAAAGTCTTCCTTGTGATCACGGCTATAACCCTGGGGCGAGCACGCCCCGGACTGCCCCCCCAAGGGCTGGCGCCATCGGCCGCGCCGCCTCGGCCAGCACCCGCAGAGAGACATCCGCCTCGGGCGCGGGAGGCCCCGAGAGGGCCCCCGAGCGACCCTTGGGCTCTCGGCACGCCTCCTCCGGGTTCCCCGTCCGCGGCCGGCCCCGGGCCCCGCCGGGGAGGCGCCTCGGGGGTTCCTGGGAGGAGCGCTCGAGGCTCGCCGGAGAGTGTCGGACGCCTTTTTTGGGGGGGGGGAGGCCCTCGCCTTTTTTTTCCTCTGGAGGCCTATTGGGGGGCGTCTCGAGGTGTGTTCTGGGTCCGCTCACGGGAAGTCGCGCGTCGCGGGCCGCCCAGCGAGACGCGCGGTGCGCGGTTGTCTGGGGGGGGGGGCCCTCGCTTTTTTTTTTCTGGAGGCCTTTGGTGAAGGGGACTGGGGACACACAAATTAACAAACACAAATAACAGGATTCCCCATATGCTCCCACATCTTCTTGGTTGTTGTCCCCCCCACTTCCAATGTTTTCCCATTATTTGCTGGGGAATCGGCGATTCATTGTGTCTGAGTGTTTCTTTCCCTCCCGACTTGGAGGTGTCTCGAGGCTTTGTTTTTTGGGTCGCTCGCGTAACTGCGCGCGACGCGCCCAGCGATGCGCGGTGCGCGGTGGTCTTCGCGCCCCCTGTCTGCACGCACGAAATGGGTACGGAAGGAAGGGGTACAATGGCCAACAGCAGTTCCTGTTCACTTTGAACAGGATTCGCTGTCCACGCCGCCGCGGCCTGTGTCCATTCGAGACAGCGGCCGCTGTTGGTTTGGGACAACATTTGTTGTTGGGCATTGTACCCATGTTTTCCGTACCCATGTCGGGCGTCCAAACCCTGCGCCGCCCCCGTGTGCCGGAGAGGTCTGGCGCTCTGGCACATGGGCCCCGACGCGAGCAGCGCGATCGCGCCGGCGCCCCCTGCGGGCGACCCTCTCCTCGAAGGTGCGGGGGGCTGGAGGGAGAGGGAGAGAGAGCGAGCGAGAGCAACTGTCAAGCCTTGTGGATGCCATGACCAGGGACACTCCAACAATCCGACCGTTGAGTAAAACAATGTGTTTAACACGTGCAAGACGTGTTCAACACAATGTTTCAAACATGTGTTTACATATATCTAACCCATGTTTGAACACGTGTTTTAGACATCTGGAGATTATTTGTCAACATGCTCTCTCTCCGTTGATCGTCCTCCACAAGGCTGGAGGGAGAGGGAGAGAGAGAGAGAGAGAGAGAGCGAGCGAGGGCACCAGTCAAACCAGGCCTCCGGGCGCCGGGGGAAACATCCACAGCAGGGACGCGCTCGCCCCGAGCCCGGCCCCCGGGACCCCCTCGCGCACCGAAGCGGCGCGACAGATGCCGCATCTGAAGGGCGGTGTCGGGGCTCTGGCCGTATGCATTTTTGCGTCACTGCATTGTGACTTTTCACGACTTCGGGTATCTGGCCTTATCGGCCGGGGCTGCACTTAAACGGTGTTCTTCGGTTTCGTTTTGCTTTCGTTGTCCCTCGCTTCTGTCTCGAATCCGCCTTTACCACAAAACGGAGTCGAAACGAAAACGGCCCAAAGAAATCGCCCAAAGCGCCGTTCAGGTCCAGCCCTGCGAGCGAGAGCAGCTGTCAGACCAGGCCTCCGGGCGCCGGGGGAAACATCCACAGCAGGGACGCGCTCGCCCCGAGCCCTGCCCCCGGGACCCCCTCGCGCACCGAAGCGGCTCGACAGGTGCCGCATCTGAAGGGCAGGGTCGGGGCTCTGGCCGCATTTCTGCGTCACTGCACTGTGACTTGTCACGACTTTTGGTTGCTGGTCTTCTCGGGTGGGGGGGTGGGGGGACGATCAGGAATGGGGCGCACAGAGACATACTGACACTATGTGTCCTCCTGGGAGGCGCGCGTCCGACCTGAACATACAGTCTACCCATCCTGTAGTACATCGTTTCCCGAGCGGCGTGGCCAGAAAGCGCCCGCCACGACGCATACACTAGAAGAGTTCTCGGTGCGCGCGCCGCCCATGGGGGGGCGACGAACACATAGTATAAGTATGTTGGGGGGCGATCAGGAGAGGTGTCGCGGATAGCGGCAGTCTGCTGGCCTGGCCGCCTCACCAGCCGTACTTCATCGCAGTCTGCCCCTTGCTCATTCTGCCGTTCGCCTGGCGGTCGAGCATCTCTGCCTCCTTGTCGATCGCTTCCTGCGCGAGCCAGTTGATCTGGTGCTTGCGCTTCTGGGTGCGGTTCGGGTTGGCCAGGGTGGTCTTCTTCCACGCCTCCGTCTCGTACATGCTCACCTCCTCGGCCACCGTCTTGCCGCTGTGGAGCCCAGGCCCCCCGTGGATGAGGTTGTTCATGGACCAGTCGGGATCCATCATGTCCTGCAGGAGAGCGCAGAATCGAATCGATAAGTCCGATCGGCGATCGGAAATCGGCATTCGAGTCGGAAAAAGTCGAATCGGCGGAAATCGGCAGGCTAGTAGGCCTTCAATAAGAAGTCGGAACCCAAATCGGAATCCCAAGTCGAATCGAATCGGAATCGGAAGCCATCGAAATCGAATCGAATCGAATCGGAGGTGTCGAAACGAGCCCTGTGTCCTGGGCCCGGATCTCGGCCACGGCCTTGGTCGCCCTCATCTGCGCGAGGTCGTCCTGCGAGGGCCCGTCCGCGCCGGCGGCCGCGCCGCCGTCCTTGAACAGCGGGTGCGAGTGCAGGCCCTCGGGCACGCTGCTGAAGTCGTCCGCCGGCCGCAGCAGCTTGGCCACGGCGTCCGCCGTCGGCTCCGCGGGCCTCGCGGCTGCACGCTTCAGATTAAGTCGGGCGTGCCCCCCCCCTACAGGGGGATTTTCGACGAAAAATAAAACATATCTTTAAAATACTCCAAAATGGTCAAAAAATATCACCAGGCTATGTTTTGGCTACCTATACGACCACCCTGCGGGTGATAAGGAGGTTGGGGGGGAGGGGAGCTAGCACTGGGCAACAGTGGTGATTGTTGCGTTGCCGCTCGCTCTTGGGAGCCTTGGTGTCGACTTGTTTACGTCATCCTTCGCTCTTGGGCGCCCTGGTATCATTCTCCCCCCCCCCGGAACCAACGAACTAATTATTGATTTAGTTCATTTTGAAAGGGCTTGGAGGGCCGTTTGGGCCCCCGGGACACCGGCGGGACACCGGCGGGACACCGGCGGGACACTGGCGGGACACCGCGCGCCACCGCTTGCCAGAGGGAGAATCATTTGGTCCGGCCGGGGCCCAGCCACAAGCGGGACACCGGCGGGACACCGGTGGGACACCGCGCGCCACCGCTTGCCAGAGGGAGAATCATCTGGTCCGGCCGCGCCTCAGCCACAGGAGACTTTCCTCTCGCCCGCCCACGCAGCTTCGCCTCGCCCGCACGCACGGAACGCACGAACACGAAACCGAAAGCGATTTCCCGGTGGGGGGCTCTCCGTTCCACTTCGATCTCCCCCAACCTCCGATTTTTGAACATTCCCCCTGTAGAGGGTCAGGCCCGACTTAAGCTTAAGAGCGACCCTGGGCCAGAGTGACCCCGTGGCGCGCGGCTCCGGGGGGCCGCTTCGCCTCAGCGCGCCAGCGAGGTGCTGGCGGGACCCCCGTGGACCCACACCAGAAGTTGAGTCGGGGCGCAGGGCCACTCTTGCGCGTAGACGTATAAGTTAGGTCGGGCATGTCCTGCCACACAGGCGGATTTTGGAAGAAGAATGAAACATAGCCAAGGACACTCCAAAATAGCCAAGGATAGTCGAAAACGCGTCCCCTGATTTTTTGTTCATTTTTGGATATTCCTCCGTAGAGGGACGTGCCCGACGGGAGCGTAGAGCCGAGGGCCTCTTCCTCGCGCGGCCCACGCCCGACAGGTCCAGCTTGCTCCCGCCCCCGCCTAGGGAGGTCTCCGAGCCCAGAGTGGCCCTCGGCGCGGGCAGGGACGCCAGCAGGCTCCTCTGGGAATCAACCAAAACTGTGCTTGCAGTTTTCGTGTTGCTGTCGTTGTCCCTCGTTTTGCCTCCAAGCCGCCTCTGCTGCAAAACACGACGTCGAAACGAACAACGGCCCACGACATCGCCCAAACACCGTTGAATTGGGCCTGGGCTCCTCCCGGCGGCCAGCCGCCTCGCCTCGAGGGCCGCCGCCCCCGCCAGGGGCGCCTCGGCCTCGGCCTCGCTGGGCCCGGCGTCGAGCTGCAGCGGCCTCGACACGGGCAGCTTCGCGTAGTCCACGCGCTTCCGCCTCGCGGCGCCGCCCTCCGCCGCCGCCGCCGCCGCCGCGGCCGCGGCCGCCGGCGCGGGCCCGGCCCCCGAGGCGGCCGCCTCCCCGCCCTCCTCGCCCTCCTCGCTGCTGCTGTAGCCGCCCACCAGCATCGGCGGCCCGGCCGCGCGGCTCTCCGGCTGCGCCGGCCGCGTGAGCCCGAGTGGCCGCTGCTCCGCGCGCAGGCGGCGGCAGGCACGGGCAGAGGCAAAAAAGCAGGCGCTGCTCAGGCGCGAACATGTGGGCCACGGTGGGGGAGGCGGGCGCAGAGGAGGGCCCGGGAAGCGTGGGCAGATATGGGTTCTCCCCTGGCCCCCTGCTGTGGTCATGCCGAGGCATGCGGCGCACGTTCTTTGTCACCACGAGGGGCCCCCTGGATGGGGTCCGAATAGATGGGGTCGCAGGATCGCGCTGCATCGCCGATGCGATGCATCGGCGATGTATCGTCGATGCATGGCGATGCACCAGCGACGTCGGCGATGCGTCGGCGCCGTCGGCGTGGAGGAACTCGAGCTCCGCATCGAGCCGCATCGACGAGCGCATCGGCGATGCGACGCGATCCTCCGACCCAATCTATACTCGGACCCCATCTGGGAGGCCTAGAACCACGGGAGCCCCAGGGGCCCAGTCGAGGAGGCGAGGGGCCCAGTCGATCGAGGAG